CATCGTTCGCCTATTAGCCCAACAGTTATAGTAAAAGTTTATGCCGATAAGTTGAAATATATAAAATATTCTGTTCAGCCTAGCCCTAATAGATGCATTCTAGTAAGAAATTCGTTTGAAAGAAGTAAAAGAAAAGGCCAGATATCAATTATTACTCTTTGCCATTGGTATTTTCAAAGATTATCAATGATACAAAAAAACCGCTTCAAAAAGGGTTCGTATAAAGTATACAAAGTAGAGGAAGTAGCATGTGAAAAGCAAGATTTTTAAGTGATATATTCACGAATATTATTCTTAAGAGATAACAGCCAATTTAATAACCATAAATTAGTTAAGGTAATAAAATAGGTATAAATAGGTTTAAAATATTTGCAAATTCACTGATGGGAAAGAGATGTAAAGTAAAGATAAACAATAAAAATGAGAAACTTCAATACAAAAGAATATTCAACCACTATTTTGGCCTGAAAGAATTAAGGAAACTTCAGCTGTGTAGTGGGCTTGCGTTTAGAAAACTGAGGCACACTTGTTCTAGGGCAAAACATGAAAAGTCTAGTATTTGCCAAGTGGCCGATAAAACCTAATTTGAAGGAAAAAATATTCAATTGGAAAATCTTTTACAATAAATAATTCAATGTTTCAACAGTGTAGCAGTGTGTAGATTAGCCAAGCTTAATGCCAGGACAAAGAGAAGCGCCAAATTCCCGATATTATTTATGGTAACAAAATAGAACGCACAAATATCCATTAAACTTTACCAAAGTAGGTAAGCCCAGTCCTTATTCCTTGGGCTGATTCGAAAAAAAATAAAAACATAATGGATCAAAAAAGTTGATCTGTGTACAGGTGAGACAGGTAAGGACTGTAAACTACAGAGCCTCTCTGAAATCAAACATAAACACAAGTTTAAAAACAAACGAGCCACATTGAAAAGATAAAGGCTAATAAATGTACAAATTAAAACCGTTGGGAACTAAGAGACCTAAGGATTATTTGGTATGAAGCTAGCCACAGCCACCTTTTGCCACCGAGAATATAATTGGTCACTAACTGCAGCAAAGAAGCCGGTGGTGTCTGGAATGCGAACAGGTCCATGAGCAGAGAAGTCAAGAATACTACCGTCCAGGCCAGTAGCTCGGCCGTGGACTGCATCGATTAAGGCACAAGAAGCGCAAAGATCCCATTTATTTGAACCTGATGGATGCACATAGAGATCCGCTTTGCCCTCCAGGAGGCTGAGCAGTTTGAATCCTTAAAGCGAGAAAGAAATGAAAATTGTATAAAAACTAGCAATGTCGAACGGCGCAAGTCCTCAGCCAAAATCCCCGTGAATAGTTTCATTCGCCAAGTTCAAACCAGTAGTGAAAAAACCCAAATTATACCAACAAACCTAAAGCAAATCAGGATGATTTTATTAAGTTAGGATATATTCTTTGCTGAAAATCTCATGGCGCAAAATTCTCATTGACCTACCCAATAAAAATAATGCAATATATTTTAAATTCGATTATAGTTGAAAAATTCAAGAGAAATGAGCATACTGATGAATAAATTTAACCTTGAGGGTAGAAAATAGTAAATGAAACATTACAAAAATTATAAATTGTTTACTATTATTAGTACTTATTTTCCGCACTGATAATGGAAAACGAAATAAGGGCCCATGCAGCCCTGTAATATGACATAACAAATCTAGGCATGGAAACTGTTCCGAAAAATCCATCAGGCTAAAGAATTCCGAAGTTTGATGAAGCATTTTCTACAAATATTATTCAATCTCTGATTCCCAATTGTTTAAGCAGTGGTAACATGTAAAATGAAAAAGGCTAATTATGCCAACCTAAATCATGCATAAGCTAATGAGAAAAAAATGCTACTTATGCGCCGTAGTGCTCGAAAATTATTAATTATAATGGATCTCAGCAATAAAATTAACTTTTCTGCATCTTTTCTACCAACATACTCTCGGGTTAAATAGCTTTATTTAATTCGAATTGCCCATAGATGATAGTATATTAGGGTTTAGCAGATATTTGGTGGCGTAGGTGATGGGAAGTCTCGCCGATCCATGCGTAAGAGGTTAACTAAACACAAAACGGCCTGAATAGGCTTATGGGCTGAGATAAAATGCAATCAATTCGTGCAAAGTACATTCCGAAGAAAGCATATAAAAAAGATATTCGTCCAGACATTATCTGCAATGTTCAGCCAAATAATGAGGGTAGGATTAGCTCGCTTCTTGGTCGTAAATATCATGATTAGGCGGAAAAAATTTATTCGAAGAAAGCGCAAATAAACACGTGAGTCATTATGAGTTAATGAGGATATCTCAGTCTCCGTTCTACGCAAGTCATGCTTCATGTTGCCAATGTTGTTAAAAGTGAAGACAAACTTTTCAAAAATTAATAATCTTGTCTAGCATAGTTATTGAACCGGAAGGCTTATCAACCCGTTTGTATGTCTAAGCTACTCAGACAACTAATGAGGACTATAAAACGAATGGTAATTCAAAATTTGGAGCAATAATAAGTAAGCATGCTGTAACCTGCAAATAAAGACCCTGTAAGTGACTTTTTGAGAGTCAACGCAATTAGCAGTATTGAAAGGCCAGAATAAACTGGATCAACAGCCAAAAACCTGATTAAATTAATGCAAAATTCGCAAACTAAGAATTGATAAGGGCCGTCCTTGTCCGTAATTTAATTAAGGATTAAATTTCGATGCCACGGCTACTAACGGCCACATGGAAAGAGAGAATCGAATCTGCGATACCGTTTGGAGAGCAAGTTGAATGCACCAAAAGCTGAATATAGAATAGAAAATAACAGTGACCTTCGTTTATTAGGATATATTAAAATTTAAAAATGAGAATTCAGATTGGCCAATATCGAAATAGCAGTTTGATTATCCGAATACTTTTATTTTAGTATTGGAGTAGAGTTTCGAGACTTTTAGACAAAAGGACTGATTGGATAAACAGAAACAAAATTTGAAATGAATAAAGACAATAAAAACCTATTATCCATAAGCGCAAAATAGGTCTATTATTATCACCAAACAGCCAGGAGTGGCGATTCATAGGGTATTAAGGAAATTATTAAAATTGACGATAGTTTACATCTGATACAAATAAATCATATTTGTTAATCGAAGAATTATTCACCTGAACCACCAGCAGCAAGTATCTGGATCTTCTGCGGGGAAAATGCTCGGATCAAGGATTCGTTGACTTTTTGATTTAAATGAGATCGACTTATAGTAATTCGTAACTCCTGTAAATTAGCTCCGCGAGAGGTATCTGATAGAGAACGAGAAACGAGCCTCGTAATACTTTCCGACGCACCATATCCACGCCAATGCCAATCTGAGAAAAGCATCATGCCAAGCAATATTCAAAAAATGAAGCGTAAATCTTGTGCATCCTTAAATATCTTGTTTAAAAGTAGTTTGAGCAAGAATATGAAGAATGAAATGGAAAATACGACCTCAGTGAGTGAAGTGCCTAGAATTGTCCATCATAATTCTTTTTCGTATTTGAATAGTTTTGAGACTACCAGTAAATAAGTAATATGAGATGAATTGACCCTGTTTCGTTTAAGGTGATGAAGGACTGATAGTAGAATTTTCCTACAATGATACAAGTAAAGCTGATGTTCCCATTGAAGTTCACATAGCCTTGCTTACCAAAAAGTTGTTCTCATCCAGACATAAGTGGACCGCAGTTTCGACCTCGCACGGTTTGACTGCTGCTGAAGGTGTCGATAAGACCGATGCGAGGTCGAAACTGCCGTCCACCCTGAATGAGAACAACTTTTGGGAAGGCAAAGCAATGTAAAATTTTATGTAACGTCAGCTCTACTCATATCATTGTGGGAAAATTCTACTACGAGTCCTTCATCAGCTTAAACGAAATATGATGAATTCACATCATAATTCTGTTACTTTCCAGCATTATACTATGGACATGATAGTTTCTAAGACATTTTGCCATCGGCATAGTCAAAGATAATTGCCATTTCTAGTACCGAGCCACAATTCATGATAAACAAGTGGAGCCCGTATCATGACCTAGTCGAAGTAAACTCCTTCACCATCACTCGCAACCTGTTTAATCTGAGCTACAGTGGCCTTAAGGAATAAGCCTCCAAAGTCCGGATTGTCGAGTCTGACAGGCCAATCTAATTCTACTTTCTATTACCTCAGTTCAACACGTCACTTATTTATAAATCCTATAATAAAGCCTTTACTTCCCGGACCAGTTCTATTGATAAACCAGTGTATTATGAGCCAATTATAAGCTTAGAACCATTGTATCCATCATCTCTCGACGGATTTCTCGATCAAATTACAACCTTCCTACTCATGCTGATAAATTTATATAATCGTTCTTGTAGCCTCATTCACAAATGTTGTGGCCATTTGTTTGGTTTGATTACACTCTCTGTAAACTTCCGCTGTTGATTTCAGAGTGCATCTCGTAGGCATTATGTCGCAATCTTTTTAAAAGCTTATTTAAGCCGTCCGTATATTGCTGATCTTACAGGATCGCAGTTTTCTTCGAATCCGCTTAAACAAAAACCAAGGTCCTCGCTAGTTTCGCCTTGATTGATCTTCCGTTAATTAGATTCGCTTCAGTTAGAATATTGACGTTGGAGTGGCTCTCAGCCTGTTAGATGTAAGTTGAAGGGGGTCCTAAATTGGTCTCATCGGAAACAGAATAAGCAATAACTGTAGATTTAAAAAAATAAGTCAATGTCCGGCGACCTTAATAATAGCGTAATCTACACTTAGTCTAAAAAATAAGTGAAAATGTAATAGATGGTCTAAATATTTGTGAATAAACATTGCCATCAGATGTGAAGTAATTGGTCATTACTTCCAAGTTTACTTGTATTATTCCCCTCCTAAATATAAACTATTTATCGCCTCAAAAGCTTATTTGGTGAGATGCTTGTATACATGGATTCCACATTAAAGCTTGGCCAAATTTTTGCGCCGTCATGCACAACGTTTATGATTCTTTGATAAAGTACACATTCTTTATAATACATCTACATTTTAGGGTATGACACAATGTAATAGATAATGATAGCTGAAACGATAATAGGAATTTGGCATTTAGAATAAAAACTTCACACAAGAGATGCAGCGGACTAAATAAAAGTTAAAGATACAATGAGAAACTGGGATCCGATTAATCTCTTGAGATAACATTGATAAAAGGGACTTTCATTTCGTATGAAAGTGAATGA